GTAATAGCAGCAACCACAACCACCTGTAGTAATAGCAGCAACCACAACCACCTGTAGTAATAGCAGCAACCACAACCACCTGTAGTAATAGCAGCAACCACAACCACCTGTAGTAATAGCAGCAACCACAACCACCTGTAGTAATAGCAGCAACCACAACCACCTGTAGTAATAGCAGCAACCACAACCACCTGTAGTAATAGCAGCAACCACAACCACCTGTAGTAATAGCAGCAACCACAACCACCTGTAGTAATAGCAGCAACCACAACCACCTGTAGTAATAGCAGCAACCACAACCACCTGTAGTAATAGCAGCAACCACAACCACCTGTAGTAATAGCAGCAACCACAACCACCTGTAGTAATAGCAGCAACCACAACCACCTGTAGTAAATAGCAGCAACCACAACCACCTGTAGTAATAGCAGCAACCACAACCACCTGTAGTAATAGCAGCAACCACAACCACCTGTAGTAATAGCAGCAACCACAACCACCTGTAGTAATAGCAGCAACCACAACCACCTGTAGTAATAGCAGCAACCACAACCACCTGTAGTAATAGCAGCAACCACAACCACCTGTAGTAATAGCAGCAACCACAACCACCTGTAGTAATAGCAGCAACCACAACCACCTGTAGTAATAGCAGCAACCACAACCACCTGTAGTAATAGCAGCAACCACAACCACCTTAGTAATAGCAGCAACCACAACCACCTGTAGTAATAGCAGCAACCACAACCACCTGTAGTAATAGCAGCAACCACAACCACCTGTAGTAATAGCAGCAACCACAACCACCTGTAGTAATAGCAGCAACCACAACCACCTGTAGTAATAGCAGCAACCACAACCACCTGTAGTAATAGCAGCAACCACAACCACCTGTAGTAATAGCAACCACCACAACCACCTGTAGTAATAGCAACCACCACAACCACCTGTAGTAATAGCAACCACCACAACCACCTGTAGTAATAGCAACCACCACAACCTGTAGTAATAGCAACCACCACAACCACCTGTAGTAATAGCAACCACCACAACCACCTGTAGTAATAGCAACCACCTGTAGTAGCAGCAGCAGCAACAACAAAACCCATAACCGCCTGTAGTAGTAGCAGCAGCAGCAGCAACAAAACCCATAACCGCCTGTAGTAGTAGCAGCAGCAGCAGCAACAACACAACCCACAACCGCCTGTAGTAGTAGCAGCAGCAGCAACAACAACACCCACAACCACCTGTAGTAGTAGCAGCAGCAACCCCCACAACCACCTGTAGCAGCAGCAACCCCCACAACCACCTGTAGTAGCAGCTGCAGCAGCAACAACACCCACAACCACCTGTACTAGCAGCAGCAGCGGCAACAACACCCACACCCACAACCACCTGCAGCAGCACCCACAACCACACAACCCAGGGCAACATGGGTTTAGAGCAGGTCGCTCCTGTCTGTCTCAACTACTGGATATCTACAAGGTCCTAGATGCACTAAAAACAAAAGGAATGCAGATGTAATACACAGACTTTGCAGAAGCCTTCGACAAGTGTGACCATGGCGTAATAGCGCACAAAATGCGTGCTAAAGGAATAACAGGAAAAGTTGGTAGATGGATCTAGAATTTCCTCACAAAGAGTAGTAGTCAACAGAGTAAATTCTGAGGCGGCTACGGTGAAAAGCTGTTTCGCAAGGCACAGTACTCGCTCCCATCTTGTTCCTCATCCTCATATCTGACAGACAAGGATGTAAGCCACAGCACCGTGTCTTCCTTTGCAGATGACACCCGAATCTGCATGACAGTGTCTTCCATTGCAGACACTGCAAGACTCCAGGCGGTCATCAACCAAATCTTTCAGTGGGCTGCAGAAAACAATATGAAGTTCAACGATGAGAAATTTCAATTTGATATGGTAAACGTGAGGAAATTAAAACTTGATCAGAGTATAAAACAAATTCCAACCACACAAGAGAGCGAAAAACTTAACATCAAAGACCTGGGAGTGAGCATGTCGGAGGATCTCACCTTCAAGGACCACAACATTGTATCAATCGCATCTGCTAGAAAAGTGACAGGATGGATAATGAGAACCTTCAAAACTAGGGATGCCAAGCCCATGATGACACTCTTCAGGTCGCTCGTTCTATCTAGGGTGGAATATTGCTGCCCACTAACAGCACCTTTCAAGGCAGGTGAAATTGCTGACCTAGAAAATGTACAGAGAACCTTCACGGCGCGCATAACGGAGATAAAACACCTCAATTACTGGGAGCGCTTGAGGTTCCTAAACCTGTATTCCCTGGAACGCAGGCGGGAGAGATACATGATTATATACACCTGGAAAATCCTAGAGGGACTAGTACTAAACTTGCACACGAAAATCACTCCTATGAAAGCAAAAGACTCTGCAGACGATGCAACATCCCCCCAATGAAAAGCAGGGGTGTCACTAGCACGTTAAGAGAGAACACAGTAAGTGTCAGGGGCCCAAGACTGTTCAACTGCCTCTCAGCATACATAAGGGGGATTACCAATAGACCCCTGGCAGTCTTCAAGCAGGCACTGGACAAGCACCTAAAGCCGGTACCTGACCAGCCGGGCTGTGGCTCGTACGTTGGATTGCGTGCAACCAGCAGTAAGAGCCTGGTTGATCAGGCCCTGATCCACCATGAGGCCTGATCACAGACCGGCCCGCGGGGGCGTTGACCCCCGGAACTCTCTCCAGGTAAACTCCCGGTGGCAGCAGCAGCAGCAGCAGCAGCAGCAGCAACACCCACAACCACCCGTAGTAGCAGCAGCAACACCCACAACCACCCGTAGTAGCAGCAACACCCACAACCACCCGTAGTAGCAGCAGCAGCAGCAGCAACACCCACAACCACCCGTAGTAGCAGCAGCAGCAGCAACACCCACAACCACCTGTAGTACTAGCAGCAGCAACAACACCCACAACCACCTGTAGTAGCAGCAGCAGCAGCAACACCCACAACCACCTGTAGTAGTAGCAGCAGCAACACCCACAACCACCTGTAGTAGTAGCAGCAGCAACAACACCCACAACCACCGTAGTAGCAGCAGCAACAACACCCACAACCACCCGTAGTAGCAGCAGCAACAACACCCACAACCACCCGTAGTAGCAGCAGCAACAACACCCACAACCACCCGTAGTAGCAGCAACAACACCCACAACCACCCGTAGTAGCAGCAGCAACAACACCCACAACCACCCGTAGTAGCAGCAGCAACAACACCCACAACCACCCGTAGTAGCAGCAGCAACAACACCCACAACCACCCGTAGTAGCAGCAGCAACAACACCCACAACCACCCGTAGTAGCAGCAGCAACAACACCCACAACCACCCGTAGTAGCAGCAGCAACAACACCCACAACCACCCGTAGTAGCAGCAGCAGCAACAACACCCACAACCACCCGTAGTAGCAGCAGCAGCAACACCCACAACCACCCGTAGTAGCAGCAACACCCACAACCACCCGTAGTAGCAGCAACACCCACAACCACCCGTAGTAGCAGCAACACCCACAACCACCCGTAGTAGCAGCAACACCCACAACCACCCGTAGTAGCAGCAACACCCACAACCACCCGTAGTAGCAGCAACACCCACAACCACCCGTAGTAGTAGTAGCAGCAACACCCACAACCACCCGTAGTAGTAGTAGCAGCAACACCCACAACCACCCGTAGTAGTAGTAGCAGCAACACCCACAACCACCCGTAGTAGTAGTAGCAGCAGCAACACCCACAACCACCCGTAGTAGTAGTAGCAGCAGCAGCAACACCCACAACCACCCGTAGTAGTAGCAGCAGCAGCAACACCCACAACCACCCGTAGTAGTAGCAGCAGCAGCAACACCCACAACCACCCGTAGTAGTAGTAGCAGCAGCAACACCCACAACCACCCGTAGTAGTAGTAGCAGCAGCAACACCCACAACCACCCGTAGTAGTAGTAGCAGCAGCAACACCCACAACCACCCGTAGTAGTAGTAGCAGCAGCAACACCCACAACCACCCGTAGTAGTAGTAGCAGCAGCAACACCCACAACCACCCGTAGTAGTAGTAGCAGCAGCAACACCCACAACCACCCGTAGTAGTAGTAGCAGCAGCAGCAACACCCACAACCACCCGTAGTAGTAGTAGTAGCAGCAGCAACACCCACAACCACCCGTAGTAGTAGTAGCAGCAGCAGCAACACCCACAACCACCCGTAGTAGTAGTAGCAGCAGCAGCAACACCCACAACCACCCGTAGTAGTAGTAGCAGCAGCAGCAACACCCACAACCACCCGTAGTAGTAGTAGCAGCAGCAACACCCACAACCACCCGTAGTAGTAGTAGCAGCAGCAACACCCACAACCACCCGTAGTAGTAGTAGTAGCAGCAGCAACACCCACAACCACCCGTAGTAGTAGTAGCAGCAGCAACACCCACAACCACCCGTAGTAGTAGTAGCAGCAGCAACACCCACAACCACCGTAGTAGTAGTAGCAGCAGCAACACCCACAACCACCCGTAGTAGTAGTAGCAGCAGCAACACCCACAACCACCCGTAGTAGTAGTAGCAGCAGCAACACCCACAACCACCCGTAGTAGTAGTAGCAGCAGCAACACCCACAACCACCCGTAGTAGTAGTAGCAGCAGCAACACCCACAACCACCCGTAGTAGTAGTAGCAGCAGCAACACCCACAACCACCCGTAGTAGTAGTAGCAGCAGCAACACCCACAACCACCCGTAGTAGTAGTAGCAGCAGCAACACCCACAACCACCCGTAGTAGTAGTAGCAGCAGCAACACCCACAACCACCCGTAGTAGTAGTAGCAGCAGCAACACCCACAACCACCCGTAGTAGTAGTAGCAGCAGCAACACCCACAACCACCCGTAGTAGTAGTAGTAGCAGCAACACCCACAACCACCCGTAGTAGTAGTAGCAGCAACACCCACAACCACCCGTATTAGCAGCAGCAACACCCACAACCACCCGTAGTAGCAGCAGTAGCAACACCCACAACCACCCGTAGTAGTAGTAGTAGTAGTAGTAGCAGCAGCAGCAGCAACACCCACAACCACCCGTAGTAGTAGCAGCAACACCCACAACCACCTGTAGTAGCAACAGGACCCACAACCACCTGTAGTAGCAACAGCAACCACAACCACCACAACTATAACCACAACAACCACTTGCAGCAGCAGCACCTCCTACCACCACCCGTAGTAGCAGCACTAGCACCAGCAGCAGCAGCACCACCACCAGCAGCAGCAGCACCACCAGCAGCAGCACCACCACCAGCACCACCACCACCACCACCACCACCACCACCACTACCACCACCACCACTACTGGTAGCGGTGACGAGTGTGGAGACAGTTGCACATGAGAGGGGAGTGGAGGTGTATTGACAAAGTGGCGTTGGTGGCAGGCAGGCAGGCAGCCTGGCTGCTGTGCTCCTACTCTGCCCACTTTCCACCACTCCTGTGTGAGCGTGCATTCTTCAGCTGCTGCTGTGTGGGCGTGCATTCTTCAGCTGCTGTTGTGTGGGCGTGCCTTCTTCAGCTGCTGCTGTGTGGGCGTGCCTTCTTCAGCTGCTGCTGTGTGGGCGTGCCTTCTTCAGCTGCTGCTGTGTGGGCGTGCCTTCTTCAGCTGCTGCTGTGTGGGCGTGCCTTCTTCAGCTGCTGTTGTATGGGCGTGCCGCCTTCAGCTGCTGTTGTATGGGCGTGCCGCCTTCAGCTGCTGCTGTGTGGGCGTGCCGCCTTCAGCTGCTGCTGTGTGGGCGTGCCGCCTTCAGCTGCTGCTGTGTGGGCGTGCCGCCTTCAGCTGCTGCTGTGTGGGCGTGCCGCCTTCAGCTGCTGTTGTGTGGGGGTGCCGTCAGCAGCTGTTGTGTGGGGGTGCCGTCAGCTGCTGTGTGGGGGTGCCGTCAGCTACCTGAGGCCCAGGCTAGTGTGCGTATGGGGTGGGTGGGTATTGAGAGAAGTCATTGTTACCTACCATTAACGTGACCTGTTCATAATACCAGGTCATAACCTGACTGTGTTGCTAAGTCACCCGCTGCTCGCAATTATTAGTTCTTATAAACACCTTCACTGACGTAGGAAGTGTATTACATAAACAAAAGTCATGTCAGTAAAGTTTCAATATTGGATTGCGTGAAAGTGATGTGGAGTGACTGATCTTTAGATATGGGGAAAATGTGAAGCTCCTTGCATTGGGTTGGGTAAGGTTCTTCAGGAAACAGGACAAGTGTTTCCTGACGCGGGTCTTAGTCAGATGATGACCCGCCTTGGGAGCTTTGGTCATTGGGTCCTTGAAATTTTGTTGATTACTAGTCAATTTTTGTTATGGAAGGGGGGTGGGTTATTAAGCAAAATTAAATAGGCTGCATTGCGTGATAACCCTGATCTACATTAAATTTTAGTGTTAGTGAGGTATCACGCACGAAGATTTTTTCCGGTCATACTCGATCACAAAGGATATGTTGCGTATGAGAGGTTATGAAATGTCCGGCCACTGCTGAGAAGGACTAGAAGAGACTTTGAGGCTGACACTCGACTATGGGTACAGTAACACTGCCAACTTTAAAATGTTTTATTAGATGTTGTTACCTAGGTAATTCGGTATTATGTAATATTTGTTAGTGAAATCACTAAGTAGTAGTAGTTTGAGATTTTAAGAGGTGGTGGTTTGCTGGTTGAGAGGTGGTTGGTGGTTTGCTGGTTGAGAGGTGGTTGGTGGTTTGCTGGTTGAGAGGTGGCTGGTGGTTTGCTGGTTGAGAGGTGGTTGGTAGTTTACTGGTTGTTGAAAGGTGGTTGGTGGTTTACTGATTGTTGAGAGGTGTTGATGAATGGTTCAAAGAACCGACACGTTGTTAAATTAGACACATGTAGATGAATGGTTCATTCATCTACAATTCTGTTAGACACTGCAACTTCTTGGGATCTTAATACTTGGGAATTCTTCGCTTGCCTATCCCTTGGGCACGACCTACTTCCACATTGGACAAACGTGACACCACCTACGACTGCTGTCCCTCTCCTGCCATACGGTTTATAAGCTGCTTCTCCGCTCATATACCGTATTCTATTCAAGATTGATGGACTGACCACATCGACTCAAGGTTGAGGGACTGATTACCTCATTCTCCTGTTCAAGTTTATCCTTTGTATGGACTGATGAAGCCACTGTGTGGCGAAATGTTTCCTCAATAAAGATACTCCAAGAGTTGCACATGTCTAATTTAGCAACTTGAGAGGTGGTTGGTGGTTTACTGGTTGAGAGGTGGTTGGTGGTTTACTGGTTGAGAGGTGGTTGGTGGTTTACTGGTATTGAGAGGTGGTTTCGTCTCTTAATGGGTATAATGCTATATATAAGAGTGTGGGTGGTAGTGGCAGGAGTGTGGGTCATTGAGGGTAGGATGGTTGTGATGCGTCAATGTAGTGGTGTGGTGGGTCACATGGAGGGATGGTTGCGATGCGTCAGTGTGGTGGGTCACATGGGGGATGGTTGTGATGCGTCAGTGTAGTGGTGTGGTGGGTCACATGGGGGATGGTTGTGATGCGTCAATGTAGTGGTGTGGTGGGTCACATGGAGGGATGGTTGTGATGCGTCAATGTAGTGGTGTGGTGGGTCACATGGAGGGATGGTTGTGATGCGTCAATGTAGTGGTGTGGTGGGTCACATGGGGGATGGTTGTGATGCGTCAGTGTTGTGGTGTGGTGGGTCACATGGGGGATGGTTGTGATGCGTCAGTGTAGTGTGGTGGGTCACATGGGGGATGGTTGTGATGCGTCAATGTAGTGGTGTGGTGGGTCACATGGACGGTTGTGATGCGTCAGTGTTGTGGTGTCGGGGAGGGGTTGGGGTCTTGTACCGGGGGAGAGTCTTGATATCGATGTACAATAGTGTCATGCGTGTTCTCTCTACCTGTACCCCCTTCCTTTTACACCCTTCTACTTCTCCACTTTTCTTTTCACCTCCCTTCCTTTTTTTCGTTTCTCTTCCTTTTTTTTTCCATGTCCTTTTTTTACTCCGTTCATTTTTCACCTCTCCAACTCATTTCTTCACTCTAAAAACTACACTACACTTCGCTCGCTCGCTCTTTATTTATTTATTTATTTTGTCTTTGCAAACAGTACATTGAGATTTTGTATTTACAATAGTGGGTTGCAATGCAGAGAGAGCCTCTATTATGCCTAGGCATTATGAGCCAACTTAACATTATTGGCTTAGTCTACTTAATACTAAGGAGTATATCATAGTTGTACAGTAGGATAGTAATTATTTCATAGTTGTACAGTAGAATATTAATTATAAATGAATCCAAAATTTGTATAATACAAGGATATATTTATATTCGAAAATGCTTTTTGTGAAAACAATGATTCAATTATAATCCTGTCAACAATGGATAAAAGGTTCAATGTGATTGTTTGTTATGATGTGGGAGTACATAGGTGAGTAAGTGTGTACTGAGTATTTAGCATTTAGTCTAGGGTGATTAAGTGGATTTTGAGAAGTCTTAAATTGATTTTCAGACTGGGTTACTTTAATATCTTCTGGTAATGAATTCCATATTTTGGGGCCCTTTATGTGCATATATCTTTTACACGGTGTGATATGGACACGAGGTATATCAAAAAGAGATCTGTGTCTTTTGTTGTGGTCATGTGTCCTGTTTAGGTTGGTGAGGAGAAGTTTGAGTGGGGGGTTTATATTTGCGTGTATTGTTCTGTGTATGTAGTAGGCACATGAATAAGTATGGATGTTCTTAATAGTGAGCAGATTCAGACTTATGAAAATTGGTGGAGTATGCTGGCGGGAGTGGGAATTTATCATTCTTACTGCTGCCTTTTGTTGGGTTATTAGCGGTTTTAGGTGTTTGCATGTTGTTGATCCCCATGCACAAATTCCATATGTAAGATAAGGGTATGTGAGTGAATGGTACATGACGACTATTTTAATACTAGAGCGTAATAACTCATTAAATGACAGTTCGGGTAAGTAAGCTATCAGTGTCAGGCTGATCAGACGTAATTCTGAACTGGTCAGTCTGGGGCCCCCCCCCCACACTCGCCGTAAGTGAAACTACTACTTGCACTTGCACACAATAAATAAAAGTGATAAGCACACAAATACTGTTATAAAACGAATATTCAAACATGTCCAGCAGTATTGGTCGTGTTAGAACAGCTGATGAACCTGTGACACCAAGCAGGCTTTACTCCTGAGGCCACTACTGAACTCTGTTATTTTAGTCTCTGTATTCTTTGAATAATTATCATTTTTGTTTAGTTCGTGGTTGTCATCGCTGAAAATTGTAAACCACATTTCCGGTGTGACAGATAATGGCTTGATACACTGGAGACATTAAGGGATCCCAGGATAACTTATAGCACAATAGTATGGCTAATTTCCACTGTGGGGGCCCTCTTCTTGAATGACTAGCAACAGTCTGCTAATATCCAGATACCTTTTTATTAAGTGAGAATAAGCCACAGTTGTAAGGAGATTATCCACATATCTTGCCCCCAGTTGAGAATTTAATCCGGATTCATTCGGTTGTAATCCTATCTGCCACTACTACAGGGCTGCGGGGACGTTGACCCCTGAAACCCTCACTAGGTATATTCCAGGTAGGTCACTTTGTATGGGTAACACAACATATTACTGAATGAGCAAACTACTTTGATGCTTGGGAATTAATGTGACCAGACACACTTTAATGTCTTAACCTCACCTCTACTTACTGTTTATGCTCGCCTCACCAGATTTATGTGACTATAGAAGCCCACTGAATAGGCAGAACATCGTCAACATAGGATTTCATGGAAAAAATTAACACATAAGCAGTATAATGTGATCCTTTATTGACAACGTTTCGCCCACACAGTGGGCTTTATCAAGTCGTAAACAGATCTACCTGGATGCAAGGTATGTGAGTATTTATGGGATGGAGTTAAGTGGAAAATGCTGGGTAGGTTGGATCTGACCCTGCACGGAACAACCTTCTGAGTAGGGTGATAGAGGCTAGGACCTTGGGTAGCATTTAAAAAATGGGAGGGGCTGGGTTTGATTGGTGTCTTGGGTACAGAAGTAAATTGCAATATAAACACAAATGCAGTATAATGTGATCCTTTATTGACTACGTTTCGCCCACACAGTGGGCTTTTTCAAGTCACAAACAGAACTACCTGGGGTGGAAGGAACGCGAGTATTTATAGTCCGGCTGAGGTCAGGTGAAGAATGCTGCATCTGATGTACCGAGTGGGGCTATAGAGTCTAAAAACTTGGGTAGCTTGGAAAGGAGATTGGATAAGTTTGTGAGCAGACCTTCTACAGTGTTCTTATGTGGGATAGCGATGAAGAAGTTTCTTGGCAAGTGGTTCAGCTATGTTATAGAAGCCACTATTCTGGTTAAAGTTGTCGGATATAGAAATAAGTGATGATTCCAGGATTCTTCGGTATTGAGTGTTGTCTTCTGTGGCGATAAGTTTTGAGTTTCTGTAGTTTATCAAGTGGTTGTGTGAATTACGGTGTTGTACGCAGGCATTCCTTGTGTCGTCAGACCTGCTTGCGTATTGGTGTTCTAAAATACGTGTTTGGAGGTCCCTTGATGTTTCGCCCACGTATAACTTGTTGCAGTCATTACAAGGGATTATGTATACCCCTGCAGAGGATGGAGGCTTGTCCTGCCTACTACTGGTGATGTCCTTGATGGTCGTGGTTGTGGAGGTAGATACTTGGAATGATGTTTTGGCAAAGATGTTGGAAACATGTTTGGCAATGGAGTTGGTGGGAAGGACTATGTATCTCTTCTCAGCAGTGTCTTCTCTGGGTGTGTTGAAGATGTTTAATGCTCGCCGTCTGCAGTCTCTGATGAAGTGACGAGGATAGTGGAGTTTGGAAAATACTTGTTCAATTATAGTGCATTCTTCCTCAAGGAACTCGTTGCTGCAGATTCTGAGTGCACGCAGGAAGAAGCCTATAATTACAACCACGACCATCAAGGACATCACCAGTAGTAGGCAGGACAAGCCTCCATCCTCTGCAGGGGTATACATAATCCCTTGTAATGACTGCAACAAGTTATACGTGGGCGAAACATCAAGGGACCTCCAAACACGTATTTTAGAACACCAATACGCAAGCAGGTCTGACGACACAAGGAATGCCTGCGTACAACACCGTAATTCACACAACCACTTGATAAACTACAGAAACTCAAAACTTATCGCCACAGAAGACAACACTCAATACCGAAGAATCCTGGAATCATCACTTATTTCTATATCCGACAACTTTAACCAGAATAGTGGCTTCTATAACATAGCTGAACCACTTGCCAAGAAACTTCTTCATCGCTATCCCACATAAGAACACTGTAGAAGGTCTGCTCACAAACTTATCCAATCTCCTTTCCAAGCTACCCAAGTTTTTAGACTCTATAGCCCCACTCGGTACATCATCAGATGCAGCATTCTTCACCTGACCTCAGCCGGACTATAAATACTCGCGTTCCTTCCACCCCAGGTAGTTCTGTTTGTGACTTGAAAAAGCCCACTGTGTGGGCGAAACGTAGTCAATAAAGGATCACATTATACTGCATTTGTGTTTATATTGCCATTGTGTCGGTATTTTATACCATTTATTTCCACAGAAGTAAATTCTTGGATAGTGGTGGTTTTGATAAGGACCTGCCTTGTATGGCCCAGTAGACCTCCTGCAGTGTTCCTCCATTCCTGCATTTCTCTTTACCATTGTCGGTTTCTATGACGTGTAATTTACTGTTATCTCGTATAATTACTTATTTATATAGGGAAGGCAGCAAGACTGTAATGACCAATATGTGTAAGATGTGATACAAAGAAATGTTGCAAGGAAGAGTGAAGTGTACACAGAGCAACAGGTGGCACTTAGGTGTTGATGCTACTGCTGGTAGAAGCATCTGTTTATTAAATTTCAATTGGTACTGGAACTAGTAGTAAATGAATATTTGTCAGTGGAACTGAGATAGTGAACCAAGACACTCGTGATTTTAAACGTGGAGCAGAGGTGGAGAGAGAAGACCAGGCTGCCATGGAGACGGTGGTGGGATACCACAACGGTGCTTCAGAATACCAAGTCCACTTCTATGATGTACAGGTAATGTCACATACCCACCTTGTATTAGTGTGCGAGATACTTGTCTCCCGAGTACTTTGTCTTGTGTAATGCTTGCCCTTCTCACTTGGTATGTCTTAAATAACTTAAGTGTTTGTTGTGAAAGAGTGCACGTGGCTTGGTAGCATCTTCAGCTCGCACATTGAGGGTATGGGATCGATCCCCAGTACGAGTGAAACATTCGGTGTTTCTTTACACCTGCTGCCCCTGTTCACCTAACAGTAAGTTAAGTAGGTACCTGGGTGTTTGACTGTTCTGGGTTGCATCCTGGTGGTGACCTGTACTTAGCTCAGTGATGACCTGTACTTAGCTCTGTGAAGACTTGTCTGTGTGCTCTGTGAATTTGAACCAAGATGTCCTCTCTTGAACAACTCTACCAGCAGCTAAAAGAGGAGCTTAGGGTTGCTAAGCTCGAGATACGGCGATTGACAGAGGAAAAGAGGATTTGTAATAATCCTCCTGTTGCGAGTCCTCAGGTCAAGAGGGGAACCTGGTCAGTGGCCAGGCAACATAGAACGAAGCTGAAGATCAAGAAGACTGTTGGAGTGGCAGAAACAACAAAGAAACGGAAGACTACTGTGGGAACTTCCAACCTATTTTCGGTGCTACCTGACGAATCTGGGTTGTCTACTGGGAACGTCACAACGAATACCAAGGAAGCATTGGCAGATGAGAGTCGACATCCCTTGGAAACTCAGAATCACATGCATATGCAGATGACTGTACACTGATATTCACTTGTCCAAGAGAAGAAATGCCAGCTGCTCTAAGCTACATCAATCACCAACTAAGAGCTATATCAGCTTGGGGAAATAGATGGCAAGTAACATTTGCACCTGAGAAAACGCAAATGATGATCGTCTCTAGGCACCATGATGGTAATGCTGGTGCAGTAGTAAGGATGAAAGGAAGGGTGTTGGCACCTGGAGAAGTTGATATCCTTGGGGTGAAATTTGACTCCAAACTAACCATGAAGAACCATGTTGTAAATCTAGCAAACAAGGCAGACAGGAAGCTTACAGCACTTCGCCGTATCTTGCATCTGCTTGACAGTAGGGGTTGCAAGATTTTGTACGAGGCACAAGTACGCTCACACCTTGAGTATGCTCCACTCTTCGTTTGCCTGCCCCCCCCCCTCTCATCTGCGACTGCTTGACAAAGTGGAGAACAGAGCAAGACGTCTCATCTCTCACCTGGACCCATCCTGGATAGATCTGTCATTTCAGCAGAGCCTTCAACACAGGAGGGATGTGGGTGGCCTTACTGTTATGTATAAGGCCAATATTGTCAAAGTACCACACTTGGATCCACTTCGAGGACAGCGTGAAACAAGCTTTTATGCCACAAGACGGGCAGAAAGCAGCAACTTCACTCTGGCTGTACCCTTCTCCAGAACATCACTCCATCTGAGATCATATATACCCAGGATGACTCGAGTATGGAACACATTCGTACAGCATAATGATGTCAACGAGATAACGTCAGTTGATCAAATGAAAATGCTGGCCCACAGATGGCTCCAACTTCATCCTGTTCCCTATTTGTATGTCTCATAACAATAAAAATGCTTTCAAATGAGCTGATGTAGGTAACAGCTCTTAGCTTGTCAATAAAGTTAGGAATCCTTAACCTGTAAATAGTTTGTCAATAAAACTAGGGATCCTTAAACTTGTCAAACCCTGTGTTTTTAAAAAAAAAAAAAAAAAAAAAAAAAAAATATGCAGTGATGAGTGTCCCAAGTAAAATCCATTAGGACAGGAATTTGAATGGCTGTGGCCCATGAGATGAGTGCCTATACAGATAGTGCTCGGAGGCCGCAAATTCCAACAAGTGTGATTTTCCAAGTGTTGGAGCTTAGTTTTAATGCTTGATGTTACATTTTTTAATAAATTGTGTTATTTTCTGGACATATAAATGACAGGAATACAACTGAGTCACTTTTGTGTAACTAACTGGATATCTAAGTTGATCCCAATTTGTTAGTTTTACATTAGCAATTGTGTTGTTATAGGTTGAGCGTCGCCGGTTGGCTCTTCAGCGGCTGCAGGAAGAGTTCAGGCCGGAGAACCTTCGCCTCCACCACAAAACTCCTCACTTCTTTGTCTCCTCACAAGTAGGTTTCAGTCAAAAAAGAAAATTGAATTGAAAAGTGATTACAGGTACTGTATTCCTGGCTACACTGAAAAAAGAATTTTGGTAACACCAACACACAAAATGAGGAAATCTATTAAATCAGTGATGACAAAATCTACAAGCTGTGGACAGTGAAAAATATAACTACAGATCCACAAATAATTTTAACATAGATGAAATGTTAAATGTTTGTCCTGGACCATTTTAAAGTTGCAACTGAGTAAGCTTAAAAAGACAGAGAAGGCCTGAAGAGAGGTTGGGAAGAAGGATGAGTATGTGGTAGTATTATAGAAGTAATAATAATATAATTATAGAAATAGAAATGTTCTAGGTAGTAGGTTGGTAAACAACAACCGCCCAGGGAGGTACTACCGTCCTGCCAAGCGAGTGTAAAACTGAAACCTCTAATTGTTTTACATGATGGTAGGATTGCTGGTGTCTTTTTTCTGTCTCATAAACATAAAAGACTTCAGGTACGTCTTGCCGCTTCTTCCTACACTTAGGTCACGCTACACATACATGTACAAGCATATACACACCTCTCTGGGTTTTCTTCTATTTTCTTACTAGTTCTTGTTGATTTCCTGTTATCTCCATGGGGAAATGGAACAGAATTCTTCCTCCATAAACCATGCGTGTTGTAAGACGCGACTAAAATGCCGGGAACAAGGGGCTAGTAACCCCTTCTGTATAAATTACTAAATTTAAAGAGAGAAACTTTCGTTTTTCTTTTTTGGGCCACCCCGCCTCGGTGGGATATGGGCAGTTTGTCAAGAGAAAAAAAAGTGGATAAATTATTCCTCTAAGGAATGAAGATGCAGGTAACTTTGTCCTTTCACTGTCTCCCATGTAGATCTGTTATTGACAGCAGTGTTCATGTAGGTCTTTGTTTTAAGCACAGCATCCTCAATTATGTTGTGAATGGTAAATTTTGACCTGGACATAAGTGGGTCTGTGCAGCAAGTGCAAAGTATAAAAATAATACTGTCCCACAAGTGCATGATGGGTAAAGCAAACCTCGGACCTTGTTTGGTTTAAAATAGTGACTTTGAGGTATTTTCAAGGGAGTTTATGGTTTTATTGGCTGTTCTTGGTATCTTTTGATAGAATGGAAGACATACTGGTGAAATAGATGATTTGATCAATTTCAGACTGGAAATAGCTTGTAATAGTGCTCAGAGTGGCAGAAATATTAGAAAGTTCAAAAGCAAAGAAATTGAAGATACAGAAAGTGCAGAGATGGAGAAAAAAAAATTTACAGAAGAAATGCACATGCCACTGTGCGTAGGCTTGCAGGAGATGTTTTTGTAAAGGAAAAGCCTGTTAGAGCTTGTCTTCTAATAATAACAATATCTTTATTTCTACAAGTATATGTACAAGGTATACAGGCCTAGCTGACATCAATGACATACTACTATATAGAAAGCCCCTTGTTATGCAGAGCATTTCGGGCAGATTAGGTCAGTTTTTGTTCCAGGTTGCGAACCATACCACTCGACTAACCCCCATGTACCCATTTTATACTGATGGGTGAACATGGCCAACAGGTATCTTAAGGAAACACGTCCTAATGTTTTCCAGCTGTACCAGGGATTTGATTTCCAGACCTCAGTGTGTGAGATGAGTGCACTGGCGATTAAGCTACGGGACTTCTCTTTTTATTGCTCAGTTGTATCTTGATATGTAATGGTTCATTCCACACTGAAATGTCTTCTAAAACTTTCATCTCTGTGGGCTGTTTGTGAGTTGGTCCAGTCACGATATTGTAACTTATTCATCACGTACTGTGTAGCTAAACCATGGCTTGTGAGTTGCAAGGCGATATCCAAATTTACTTTAGTTTTCTAGCCACTGCTCTGTTCATCATCTGGCAACTTTTTAGTACTACAGTATTTCCTAACATTAATAGTCTAGATATTTTGGTTAAAAACTAGCTACAAAGCTGAAGACTTTTGGAAATACATTTAATGTTTTGTTCAGTGATGTAGTTGCATTATTTCTTATGGGAAATATTAATTCAGTTTTCGTACGTTTCGGATTTAGACCGACCTTCTGGAATGGATTAAGTACGAAAACTGGAGTTCCACTATACATACTATTATGTTTTCTGTAAAACTCTATGGTCACGGTGTGCCAAATCTCAGTATGTTGCATACCTCTCTTCATTTTGACAGCCCACAGGCTACTTAGCTGCAATCACTTCTGCTCTTGAATTTAGTCCTCAGAGAAGTTGCCATGTAGAGTATTTAGAATGAAAGTCATAAAAATCATAATTTTTGTAGTAAAAAAAAAATTATCACCATGTCCCCTTGATGACAGCAAGAACAAAAATATACTTTTGGAAAAACATACTTAGAAATATGAAGTGAACAATAAAATGGTATAAAATACCGACAGGTTGTTTGGTAAGACACACATGCAACAGTTAGGTATCTTTATTTCGAAACGTTTCGCCTACACAGTAGGCTTCTTCAGTTGAGTACAGCAAAGTTGATAGAAGCAGAAGAGACTTAAAGACGATGTAATCAGTCCATCACCCTTGAAGTTTTGAGGTGGTCATTCCCTCAGTCTGGAGAAGAGTATTGTTCCATAGTCTGGAATAATATGGAGTTGAAGTGATAAGATGGAGCCTTATATAGCGCCAGGAGGTGAGACTTAGGTCACTAGTAGAGGTAAGAATGTAGACGTTAAGAGGTCGGGTCCCTCTAAAATCCAGCCATTCTCACTAGTAGAGGTTGTTGAAGTTGATTCCAAGTCTGTACCAAGATACCCTTGTGTTGCAGTGTCTGACAGAGTGAACAATAAAATGGTATAAAATACCGACAGGTTGTTAGGTAAGACACACATGCAACAGTTGGGGTATCTTTATTTCGAAACGTTTCGCCTAGACAGTAGGCTTCTTCATACTTAGAAATATGATAGAAACAAGCTGATTGCTTAACATGTTGCCAAATTATGCACTATTTTTCAGTAAGAAAACAATTTTTCCATAATTTTTTCAATTTTTCCTGTTTTATCCCTCCTAGGCCATTCGTGGCACCCTTAAATTTTGCAGTTTTTTTTTTTAAATTGTGACGATGAAAGGGTTACAAATGACTAAATTGTCTTTTGTTGCTGGATTCTTAAAATAGTTTCTTCTGGTTCAGGCAAGCCTGTCCTCACGACCATGCAATATAGTACAATACAATGCTCTTTTTTATGTCTTTTTGCAGTACAAATAATATAGTTTACATGTAATAAAATATTGGTAGGCACAAAAGAAAGCCACTAGTATGCAGTACATTTTGGGCAAACTAATCCTCCTAATTCTTAACATTATTTAAGATTTAGACACTATTAAGTAGGATTTCTTATGCAGTTAATTACTATCATGTGTACAATAAGAAGACAACTAATGAACAAATGGTACAATTTCAAAAGTATGACTTATTATTTCAAACTGATTCAGTGATCTTCAGTTTTGTGGAGTTATTAAATAGAGATGAAGATACAGTAAGTAAAAATAGAAAACCATGGAAGGGGGAAGTAGTAACTAATTTTATTCATAAAATAAATGTTTCTTTCAGTGGCAGGATCACAACATGTCGTGTTTGTATCTTGGGTATCGGATCTTCTGGGCACTTTACTTCAGTATGTGGGCTGTGTGGGCCTGGGCAGGATCCATGGGCTATGATGCAGATTTTTCTGTGAAAGGTTATTTTGTCCTCTACATGACAAATTGGGGAATTTGGACCCTAGCTGTAGATACAACCATTCAGGCCATTAATGTTGTTCTCCATTGCAAGAAGATTTCAGAGGAGGGTAAGTGACAGGAGTCAGTATTATACAGTATTGTGTGTAGCATTATGACAACTGTAATTTTAACAAATAGAAAGCATACACTGCTTAATTGTATAATGTTTAACTTTTTGTATTTATTTGAAGTATGGGTGATGCAGTATTCTAATATATGTGCTTAAACTATAGGTGATGCTACATATCCTTCAATGACACGCTTAATGAAAGTGTCATGGATTCTCTCCAATATCACAGGAGCGCTTCACATCTTCATTACTTCAGCATACTGGATCACTGTTTATCCTAATAGGAGCGGTGAGTCCCAGACAACAGAAAGCTTCCCAGGTGTGTAGAATGTCCTAATGTATGAGAACTGCTACCTGTTCCGTCTTCGTGTTCTGCACAAGTCCTCGACATTCTGCATACTTCTGCGGCAGCTTGGGTCACATTGCACCAGATTATGAAGTAACTTAGAATGCTTATTCTCAGCATTTTTTCTCTACAACAAATGTCTTTCTTGTTGCTTTGAAGTACTGTAGCTGCATTTGCTTATAAATATTCAGCAGTTTGAGGTAAAACATAGGCCACATGGTACAAACTCTTGGACTATCCAGATTGTTAGTCTGAGCATATTTGGAATGCTGAAAGTACTAACATTTATTCTTAAAATTGTCATTTTTGTACTTTTGAAAGGGTAACATGAAAGTTCAATAAGCCAATTGTTCTTCAGTCATTCCCTGTACTATACCTATAAAGTGTGTAAAAATAAAAATTATTCCACTATTGTATAAAGGGGAGAATATTAAAAGCATAGTACAGTGTAAATATAAGTACAGAATTGAAGGAGAGCAACGAGAGAAAACAGTAATAAAGTAGCAGTTTCTTGGCATAGTGAGAAGTGTGTAAAATTCTTTACTGCTACAGAAGAGAGTAACTTCATTGTGGTGGCAGATTGTTTCCTCTGACAACCCAGGTAGTGTCATCAATTGCCCTTGGATAAGACTGATGGATAGGGACTTCCTGCAGCTTTGGCTGCTGATAAACCAGACAAATAGTTTCTATCAACATGGCACTTTTACACTGGTGTTTGGACAGTCTTTCGGTTGTGGCCTCGTAGAAACCTGCCTCAGACTACCATACTTCCTGTTGCGGCCATATTACATGACGTCACAATCTCCCACTAATTATACTGACTTACACAGATCTTTGCTTGCTTAATGCTTATGCTTTTCCCCAAAATACCTTTATTAACAGATTGTTTACTCTTGTTTGTCTGAAATTTAATGATAAAATGAGTGATGAGACAATGTCAAAATGAACAAAAACAGATTTCGATGTGGTAAATCACTTGAGCCTATTCTGAAAAAATCCTATGGTTAATTTTCAGTTTGTCTTGTGCCAAAAATGGACACTGTCAGACCAAATTAGGTTGTGCCTGTTGAGATGAGGTGGAGAGAGAGAGAGAGAGGGAGGGAGAGGGAGGGAGAGAGGGAGGGAGAGAGGGAGGGAGAGATGGAGAGGGAGAGAGGAGGGAGGGAGGGAGAGAGGGAGGGAGAGAGGGAGGGAGAGAGGGAGGGAGGGGAGAGGGAGGAGGAGGGAGGGAGAGAGGGAGGGAGAGAGGGAGGGAGGGAGGAGGAGAGAGGGGAGGGAGAGAGAGGAGGGAGGAGGGAGGGAGGAGGGAGGGGAGGGAGAGGAGAGAGGGAGAGGAGAGAGGGAGGGAGAGAGAGGGAGGGAGGGAGGAGAGAGGGAGGGAGAGAGAGGGGAGAGAGAGGGAGGAGAGGAGAGGAGAGAGGAGGGAGGAGAGGAGGGAGAGAGAGGGAGGGGAGAGAGAGAGAAGGGAGAGAGAGGAGGAGGAGAGAGGGAGGGGAGAGAGAGGAGGGAGGAGAGAGGGAGGAGGGAGGGAGAGAAGAGGGGAGGAGGGAGGAGAGAGAGGGAGGGAGAGAGAGGAGGGAGAGAGGGAGGGAGAGGAGGAGAGAGAGGGAGGGAGAGAGGGAGGAGAGAGGGGGGAGAGAGAGAGAGAGAGGGGGGGAGAGGGAGAGAGGGGGGGGAGAGAGAGAGAGAGAGAGGGAGGGGGGAGAGAATGGTAATGTGTATTAACAGGTTCATAACATGTGCACTAGAGTTCAGACTGGCTGGTTAATTGGTGGTAGAGGGAGGGTAAAAGGAAGGAGAATTATAATTCAGTTGTTTATTTCTCTGAGTAGATAAATTGCATTTATATTTGGTGTATGGCCATGTAGTGACAATCTGGTATGCTCATATTTTTTTATAGATTGCAATTGAATTTTGTTTTATTTTTGTCTTTTTTGGCCAAACTCGTTTCTTTTTGTATATGACCATTTGGTATACATGTATGTGGTATTTTTTTTTTTTTAAATTAGTCAAGATGTGGAATTTGCCATGTCTTGGAATGAATCCCTACCTTTTACGTATTACAAAGGGGTCTTTTTGTCCTTAGCCAGGAATGCATGTATCATGGGACACCTGTACATATTGTAGTGAGGAGACCAGTGAGAGCAGAAATACTAGATATTGTTTTTAATGTGGATGAAAGAAAGGAAATGAAAGACATGAAGCTAATAATATGCTGAGATAGCTAATTTTTTTTTTTTTTTTTTTTTTTTTTTTTTTTTTTTTTTTTTTTTTTTTTTTTTTTTTTTTTTTTTTTTTTTTTTAGAAAAATCAAAATTTTTATTTCTTTGTCAACAGGCATTTGTGAGCATGTTAGGTAGGAGTAAATGTTTTTTGGGCCCTGACTAGCTTTTGAAGTGTGAGCAGGGTAATATTTTGTGAAGGTATTCAGGTATTCATGGGGAAGTGGAACAGAATTCTTCCCCTGTAAGCCATGTGTGTTGTAAAAGGCGACTAAAATGCCAGGAGCAAGGGGCTAGTAACCCCTTCTCCTGTATATATTACTAAATGTAAAAGGAGAAACTTTTGTTTTTCCTTTTGGGCCACCCCGCCTTGGTGGGATACAGCCGGTGTGTTGAAAGATAGATTCAGGAAAACTGGTTAAGAACATAAGAAGGAACACTGCAGCAGACTTACTGACCCATGCGAAGCAGATCCATCCCCCCCCCATCCCCCTGGATTAGCCCAATAACCCACCTAGTCGGGTCACTTCCACTTAAGGAAGGAGCACAGCATCAGACCTAGTAGTACAAGCTAGTCAGGTCCAACTTGCACCCACCCACTCGTGTATTTATCTAACCTATTTTTAAAAATACACAATGTTTTAGCTTGACTTGAGTCCTGGAAATGGAAAGTACAGTGCCTGCACTTTAGAGGAGGGGTTTGAGATATTGGCTGTTCGGAGTGACATCTAAACTGTCATACGAGTGCCTCTGCAAAGACAGTGATTATGTGAATGATGTTGAGTGATGAATGATGGTGAAAGTATTTCTTTTTGGTTCACCCTGCCTCGGTGGGAGACGGCCAACGTGTTGGAAAAAATGTAATAAAAAATATATGCTCTACTTCCTCTCCAGGGAAATACTAAAACAGTACTCTCAACCTTCACAAGTATTTGACATTCCAAACAGAATTACCATTCAGCTAGTTAATGATTCCAAAAGAGAGAGAATGTAGGAAAGCTATCCTAAATTCAGGGACAAAAATAATACTACTGTAATAAAAACAAAGCAAATGAACCCTCCCTTTCAACCATTAATGCTGTGAATAAATTTTATAACCTCTCAGCGGTAGGAACCAATCTTGCAAACATTCCAGAGGGTCATACCAACACCAGTAGCTATCTGGCTGGCAATTAACCTAACTTTTACTCTGCTTCTGCCGCCACCACCACCACCACCACCACCACCAAAGAAATAACAGTATTGAAATTTAAAATACAGCTATTAACAGATGAAATACCTAAAATTTTCTAATAAAAAGCTGCACAGGTATTATCTTCTATTGCAATACATTTTGACAAACTGCTTGAGAAGCAAACCTTGATAGATGCTCTCAGAAGAGCCAGGTAACACCCATCTATAAACATGGTGATTCAACCAGTGCAAAAAACCACTGACAAATACCTCGACTACTAATACTATTAAAAGTGCCTGAGAAAGTAATTTATAAGCAGCTGTTACTTGTACAAGATATTAGTAGTAATGTATAGCTTTGTTTCGATTGACAAGTTTTATTTAGCCTTGTGAGGTAAACACAGTATCACTGGCACATGCTTGACTGGAAGGGCCCTGGACACTTCATGTGACATAACCTGCTTACACACTATATGCCCCTAAAGGAGGTACCTCGATGTGAGAGAGGCTCTTATTCCAAGGAATTAGATGTGTCCTCCCTTTCATTAGATCATAGCTGATTCTCCCTTTTCCCCAAGCACTTGTATGACTGCTTTGATTTAAGTACACCCCATGACTGTAATAATAAAAGTGTACATCCTGTGTGGTCCAATTTACTCTTGCATTATTATAATAATAATAATAATAATAATAATATATGTACAGTGGAACCTCAAATATCGAACTTTCTTCGGTCCAGAAGGCTGTTCGAGTGCCTTTACCGAATGAATTTATTCCCATCAGGAATAATGTAAATTAGATTAGTCCATTTCAGACCCTCAAAAATACACTTATAAAAGCACTTACAAAAATACACTTACATAATTGGTTGTGTTGGGAGCAGTTCGATTTTTGAGGTTCCACTGTATATTTATAAAAGCAATTTTTTCTTGTGAATTCTTTGATTTCTCTTGCCTATTTTCTGAATTAACAGCAGTCATTGACTAAGTTAATTTTACAGATGAGAAACTGAATGAGATAGGTGTGAATACTCATATTATGCCTGGGCTGTACATCTTGTTGGATGTTGCTGTGTCAGCCACTCCACGCCGTCTTCTTCATGCATACCAACCATCAGTCTTCATTTTTGTCTATACTTTCTTCAACCTTGCGTATTACTTGTGTGGTGGCCTGGTATGTACAGTCTCGGTTACCAAGTGTATTATACAAAATATACTATAAGTTGTTTTATCTTACATACAGTGGACCCCGCTTAACGATCACCTCCCAATGCGACCAATTATGTAAGTTATTTATGTAAGTGCGTTTGTACGTGTATGTTTGGGGGTCTGAAATGGACTAATCTACTTCACAATATTCCTAAGGGGAACAAATTCGGTCAGTACTGGCACCTGGACATACTTCTGGAATGAAAAAATATCGTTAACCGGGGGTCCACTGTATATATATATTTTTTTCAGCAAACCGGCCGTGTCCCACCAAGGCAGGGTGGCCCAAAAAGAAAAACAAAAGTTTCTCTTTTTAAATTTAGTAATTTATATAAGAGAAGGGGTTACTAGCCCCTTGCCCCCGGCATTTTAGTCGCCTTTTACAACATGCATGGCTTATGGAGGAAGAAATCTGTTCCACTTCCCCATGGAGATGAGAGGAAATAAACAAGAACTAGAAAGAAAATAGCAAAAAACCCAGAGGGGTGTGTATACATATGCTTGTATATGTATGTGTAGTGTGACCTAAGTGTAAGTAGAAGTAGCAAGATGTACCTGAAATCTTGCATGTTTATGAGACAGAAAAAAAGGACACCAGCAATCCTACCATCATGTAAAACAATTACAGGCTTTCTGTTTACACTCACTTGGCAGGACGGTAGTACCTCCCTGGGCGATTCCTCTTCAAGGGGGGCTCCTTGGCGTGGTGAAGAGGCTCTTGGTGTGAGGAATTAGACCTGTCGGTCTCCTTCCTCAGACCGAACCTAATTACCCCCCAATCCCCCCTTCCTTCTAACATCCCCCCCCATCCTTCCCTTTTTCCTTTCCTTCTCCTCCTCCCCACCCCTCCCCTTTGCCCTTCCTTTTTGGCCTTTGGGATTTTTTCCCACAGGCACGCTAGTTCCTAGGTAGGGGAAAGGGTACTGGGGTCCATCCCACTCCGTTGAGGTTCTTGGCGGTGGCGTAGTTTGCCGTGGAATCTGGATTGCCTGGGGATGTCCCGATCCCTCTCCGGCATCCCGGAGGGTGCCTTTGGGTGTCTTTCGGGCGACTGGTGTATCTCTGGAAGCCACCTTTTAGATTCCGGGGGTGGTGGCTGAAGGAGGTATGATTTGTGGCGGATATCCGGCCGCCCTCTTTTGTCCACCGAGGTAGCTCAGCAGATGTGAGGTTGCTATCCTGGATTGCTGGTTTACTGGCATGATGGGTAGGGTATGGCACGCCATGCTGCATCTGCGCTACTTGCGGTGCTGAGGTCCTCTTGGGCGTGGAGGGAGATTTCTGGCCCTTTCATTACTCCTAGGAACTATTCCTCCCCGGTCCCCCCTTTTTTTATTTTTTATTTTTATTTTCTTTTTTCTTTTTTTTTTAAACAAAAAAAATTAGTAACCTAACCATGGCAGCCCTAGTCCATGAACCTGCTAACCCCAGGCCCCTTCTTGATACTGCACCCCGTTCTGACCCCGCCTCGTCATTGGACCACTCTTCGGACACTCCTAACGCCTCTGTACCTCTTGCCGGTGCTGTTTTCTCACCCGCTTCAGGTACTGAGGTCTCGACTGACTCCTTCGATTTATCAGACCTCCGCTTTCCTTTGACTATGCTTCCGGCCTCTCCCTCTATGGTACGGCAATTTTCGAATCGCCGGCCCGTTCCACGTCGGACCAACTCTGGTCCCACTCCTAAACGCCAACGACAATTATCTGCTGATGATACTTCTCCACCTTCTCGTTCTTCTCAGGAAAGATCGACACATCCTGCACTCCCTTTCCACGCTCAGTTTCAGAATGCACAATGCACTAAATTCTTCACTTTACGACTTACTTCCTCTATTGCCTATCTTTCTGACCATAGTATTGGCAAGGCACTCCTACGCCATGTTGGTAAAGATATTTCTTTTCATGCTCTTAAGAGCGGTACAAGCATCATCACTGTACAGAATGCTACCCAAGCTCATGATCTTTCTCTTCTTTCCCATATCGATACTGTTCCTGTCACTATTGAAAAACATCATTCCCTCAATTCTTGTAGTGGTACCGTCATTCTGCCCCATACCATAGTTCAACAAAATTTCCAGACATGTGGCAATGACATTCTTGAACAGCTGGAACTCCAAGATATCCCAATCCTCAAGGTAGACACTTGTGTTCTTCCTGCCCGCGGGTGGAGACGATACCCTGGCAATGTGGCTCGTTTAACTTTTGACAGCCGTGAACTCCCATCCTCAGTTTGTAGCAGGACATCGGTTACAAGTTCGAAAGGTGATCCCTACACCGCAACAGTGTAGAAATTGCTGGCAATTTGGCCATCCAGTGAAATATTGCAGATCTATAGCCGAATGCCCAGTCTGTGGTGCCGATGACCATTCTAATACGTCTTTCAATCGACCTCCCTCTTGCCTTAATTGTCATGAGGCTCACCTTTCGTACTCTCGCCATTGCAAAGTCTACTTAAATGAGCGGGAAATCCGTTACCTCAAAGAGGCAGAAGGTCTTCCTTATGTCATGGCAGTTTCTCATCTCTGCCTCCAAGGGAGACTACCTTGTGTTTCTTATTCCTGTGTTTCAAAACGTCCCCCCCACTTCTGGGGTCCCATCTTCTGCAGCCTCCTCTGTGGTTACCTCTTCCATAGTCACTCCTGTATCTAATTCTTTTGCTGTCCTGGGCTCAGACGTAACTACTTCAACACCTCAGTCTGTTCTCGCTTCATGTTCTCCCTCACAAGCCTCGGTATCGACGAGATCTTGTACGACACTTTCCTCCCAATCGTCCTTCTACTTCTCAGAAGTCAAAAAAAGTTTTTTTAACCCCTCCTTCCCTTCTTTCACCTCCTCATTTTACCTTCCCTGTCTCTGTATTTTGTTCTTCCCCTCTCACTGGCTCTGTTACAAGTGTAGAGGTTCACCCTCCTCCTCGTACTGTACCTTCCTCCCCTGTTCCCTCCCAAGTTTCTTCCTTTTCTGCCACCTCCCAGGTTTCTGCCTCTTCTGTCCCCTTCCACGCTTCTTCTCCAGTTCCCTCCACCCTTTCGCCCCCCCCCCCTACCTTGGTACCGTCCATTACAGTTCCAATCTTTACTCATCCTCCCCCTACCATCTCCAATATTGTCTCCCATACGACGTCTCTGAATTCTGAAACACTTGAAGCAATCTCTGAATATATTGCAGAGACCAAACCATCAATGGACACTGATCCACCCTCTGTTCCTTCTCTCTCCTCTCCTCCATCTGTGCAACTCCTTTCTTCGCAGCGCACCGTTCCTTCGCTACTTGAACGTTTTCCGCTGCCTCCGCATGTGGACTTTTCTAACCCCTCTACTCCGTAGGAACCCTTACCTGCAGATTTCAGATATCTTTATCGTTGCCAATCATGGACTATTTACAGTGGAATATACGCAGCCTCGGGTAATCGGGGTGAGCTTCAGATGTTACTCTCCCAGTTTTCCCCTGTTGGCATTTGCTTACAGGAACCAAAATTACACTATGCTGTTATCTATCCCATCTCAGTCTATAATTTATTGTATTCTTCAGATCCTTTTTCTGATGGGACCTTTAATGAAAGTGCCCTTCTTCTGCGCACTGATATTCTGTACCATCAGCTATTTGTTCGTACTTCGCTGCATTACACAGCAGCCCGTATCCACTGCATAGGTGGTATACGCTCTGTTCTTTATATCTCTCTCCTTCTCGGGCATTATCTATTCTGGACATTGCCTTTCTTGTTTCGTCTTTAAACCGCCACCCGCTTCGGGTTTACTTGGCGATTTTAAGCCCATCATTTCCTCGGGGGGGGGGGGGGGGCTCACTGTGATTCCCGTGGCATTCAGTTAGAGGCTTTTCTTGCTACCTACCCCCTCCATGTTTTAAATACAGGTACTCACACCCATTTTGATCCTTGGACTTTCACTCTCTCTTGCATCGATCTGTCTGCTCTTCCTCCACTGCATTAGACTTCACCTGGTCTGTTCTCCTGGATTTACGTGACAGCGGTCATTTCCCAATCATTCTTGCTTCCCCTTCATATTCACCACCTCTTCGTATCCCACGCTGGCAATTTGATCAGGCAAATTGGAACCTTTACTCACAACTAACTGTTTTTAGTGAGGTTCCTTCTTCGTCCTCCATTGATGAGCTTTTACACCTCTTCTCATCCTCAGTTTTAAACTCAGCTTCTCATTCTATACTCATAACTTCGGGCAGGCACTCTCAGAAATGCGTGCCTTGGTGGTCTCCTGCTTGTGCTCGTGCAGTACGTTTGAAACGCGCTGTGTGGGGCAGGTATCGGTACATTAGAACCACTCAGAGACTTGTTGATTTTAAGCAGAAGCTTGCGATCGCTCGCCGTTTCATCCGTGATGCTAAACGCACTTGCTGGCGAGATTGTCTCCACCATCACCTCTGCTTCCTCTATGAGTGCAGTCTGGAAAAAGTACGAAAACTGAGTGGTAAATATTCTCCTGACCTGGATCCTGTTCTGCGGGTTGCCGGTGTTGATATAGCAAACCCACTAGATGTTGCCAATGAAATTGGCAGTCATCTGGTCCGTATTTCTCAGGGGCTCCATCTATGCCCCTTGTTTCTTTCCTCAAAGTCTGCCAGAGTTAGCCCCCTTGGATATTTCTTCTCTCAGAGAAGAAAAGTATAATGTGCCTTTTACACTTCAAGAACTGGAGGCAACACTCTCAGCTTGCTGATCATCGGCAGCTGGGCCTGACGACATTCATATTTGTATGCTACAACATGTACATCAGTCAGCCCTTGCAGTCCTATTACGCCTTTTCAATCTTATTTGGTCACAAGGAGTTCTTCCACAGCCCTGGAAATCTGCCATTGTTCTCCCTTTCCTCAAACCAGGCACTACGGGACATGAAGCCTTCCACTATCGTCCCATTGCTCTTACCAGTGCAGTTTGCAAAGTGATGGAACGCCTAGTAAATAGACGTTTAGTGTGGTATTTAGAGACACT